TTTTGGTGTACTGCCACAGACAAAATATTTTTTTTATAATAAATATAATTTTTATCAAGTTTGTGCCTTGTATTTGTTTTATTTGTGGTAATAAATGTTTTTTCTTTCTTTCTTAATATAATGATTAAAAGAAAAGTGTAATGGAACAATTATTTCGGAACGATAAAGAACAAACTCTCGCACCAATTCTATTCAATACGGTCGCAGTAAAACGAAAATAGATCGAAGAGGAAACCAATAAAAATTCCATCTTCCAAAACAAACACTTTATTGCAAAACTGTTCAATGTAAACTGAAACGGATAGGATACATCCCATTGCAAATTTCATCCATTTTCATTTGGATACAGAACCTCTTTTGAGGAGCGAAGTGTTTGATGAACACATAGATTCTAGATTTGAAATTTTTCCCTCTCTCTCTCTCACTATTTGTGCATCGTGTCCTCATTCCTGAGGATCATGGTCTCTCTTTTTAACCACCTCTTGTACATATGTAACATTAATTTATGATTTCACGGATTTTTCCTCTGGACACTTGGTACTTACCCGTATAGTATTTCATGGAGCCTCCATCCATCCATTTCTTCTTAGAAAAAATATACACAAAAATCTTACTAATATTATAAATGCGAATGTTTGGATACAATGTTAGAAGTAATTTCCAGAACGTCTCAACGAATGATAATGAAATTTGGCATAGATGTAAAACATAGTCTGGAAGAACACATAGACTACTAATTAAGTTTTTTGTTACCGCACAGACGGAGTCGCAAGACAGTTAGTATGTATATAAAATAAACAAATACATGAACTAAACAAACCCAATTCAGATAAAACACGTCGACATTTAAATCCGTTGTGTAACAAAACACCCAGGCGATATTTCCAACGGTTCTTCAACGAAAATCGCTCCCGCAGGATCGATTGGACAACGAAAAGAATTTACTTTAAAAAACTCCACAAAGTGTGAACGCTATAAATACGTAATGGATTCCGTATATGTTAAAAAATATTAGATAAAGTCAATTATGTTTCAAAGGTTCCCAACGATGACTTTATTTATATTTATGAAGACCGAATCATCGTACCTTAATAATAATATAAATGTGAAAGCTAAGATGGATGTTTATTAGCAGGTAACTCACAAAAACCAATTGGATCTGGATAAAATTTGGCGTAGATACATAGAGAATAGGTTACTCAGTTTTATACCGCGCAGTCTAAAATTCCCAATAAGTTGACATAAAAATTAGGAAAAATCTAGCGTAAAAGATAATAATGTATGCTTTTCTTACTAATATTATAAATGCGAATGTTTGGATGGATGGATGTTTGTTTGAAGGTATTTCTAAAACGACTAAATCGATATTTATGAAATTCGGCATACATATAAAACATAATCTGGAAGAACACATAGAGTTACTAAAAAATTACCTCACTGAACCCTAAAAAACCATCCACAAACACCAGTTTGAAAGATATTTGAAAACCAGAAATTTACGTACACCATATAGGTCTTGTTACACTGGTTATGTATAAAAGGTTGAATATTGTTTTAAGAAAACGCTTCAGGGCTCTTTGTCGAGCCCGAAGCGATAGATTCCCTGATTGAAATTTGTTTCGATACACTACGCCTTTATTTTATTCGATCTTTCGCGCAAATACACTTTGGCCTTTTTTTCTTATTGAAAAGAAAAATTACATGTTCTCGATGCCAAGGAGTTTTATTTAAGTTTATCGAGATATTTGTAAAATAATAGGATATTTTGTTACGCTTGTAAGCGACTAAACCCACGAAAAATAAAGGTAGTTTTAGTGGATTTACCGTGGGGATGAGACCAAAACCTAAGTTTAAAACATATTATTATCTCTGGCCTGTCAAAGCTAATGACAGAGAAGACGATATTTTTTATGCAGATTTCGGTCTCGGAAACCTACGGTTAGTATTAAAGTAGTATTAAAAATGTTTTTGACATTGAAAATTTCAGTAATTTAATGGTTAGATGAAAGTTACTTTACTTAACTAATATTTCTTCAAAAATTCCAGTCTGCCCAGGCTACAATAAACCTTGTTAGACGTTCGCTAAAATTAAAATAGTTTAGCCAAAACCAATAACCTATAAGAAATTCGTTTGACAGTTTGCCGCCCAAAGTGACAGCTGCACTCGCGCGGGTGGCATTTTTGTTATAATCCACATAATCCGTTCTGTTTAGTTAACTAATGAGCCCTCTTCGAACTTCATCTGCGAATGCAGATTACGAATGAATTATGACGTCATATAATCCATGGCAGCAAAAACTAGTGACACATGGAAAAACAATTTAATGTTTTTTTTAAAAGCAGATGACGCGTGTTTTTGCGTATTATTTGTTAAACTGATAATTATTTGTCGAGTATTAAGACATAAAATTGTACTTAATGTAAAGCAAATTATAGGGAAAAAAGATGAACAAAAAATCACCTACCAAATGTTTATAAAACCACTAACCAAACGATTCTCAAAAGCTATTTCCGTTAAGTTGTTTTTTTTACTTTTTTACAAACATGTGACAGAATGACAACGTCAAATTGTAATTGAGTTAATGACAGAACGCGTTCGGAAACGCACGAGATTAATAGGATTGTGGGAAATGAACGCATCCGAAAAAAGATACGACGATTGTTATTTTACACGTTTAAATTTTTTTTAAGGCTATTTCGGTAACGATAATTAATAAATTGTTACTAACGCGTTATATCTTTCATCTCCTTAAATATGGGGATACTTAATTATTAATAGTTATATTTTGTTCTTAGCTATGTTAAGGATTTTTATTATCTATATATATATAAAAGAAAGTCGTGTTATTTACACTATTTATAACTCAAGAACGGCTTTACCTATATGGCTGAAAATTGGCGAGGAGGTAGCTTAGAGCCAGGAGACGGACATAGGATACTATTTATTCATTTTTTCGAATTAATGCCTTGAAGAGCTGCTTTTTATTCAACTTACTAATATTATAAATGCGAATGTTTAAATGGATTTGATGCGGATGGATGGATGGGTGTTTGAAGATTTCCCTAGAACGGCTACATTAATTAATTTGTTGTATATATCCACGCGGACGGAGTCGCGGGCGACAGCTATTTATTTATATTAAGAGGTTATTTTATATTCTCGACAAAGTACGTGTACTTAAAATATTCTTTGATTTGGAATGTTTATATAACATTGAACATTTCAAACCACATTTAATTTATTGCGCAATGATATTAAAAATAAAATTATTCTTCATATCGCTTACGTCATCACGCCTTTGTGATTTATCCGAAACAATAGAGCACTGGATGTTTATTCAGTTCTAAAGTTTACGCCGCAGTTCATCAAACCATAACTCAAAATTTACTTTAAAGCATTCCACTCATTGTATCGGCAAATCAACGTAACACAACTAAAATATGATTATAAAAAAGCAATAAACGGATAAGCAACCTAAATTTAACTGCATTAGTTTATTACTCATTGTACAGTCGTTCACGAAATTGTTTCAGTTAAAGAAATTCGATACTTGCTTTATATCAATGTACACGTGTTCACATTGATAAAAAAAGCTGGAATGAATTATTTTCTTATTCATAAACACAAACACTTTTTGATGTGATTAATATTCATTTTAAAATATCAATATGGTTACTATTTCATTTACACTAAGGGAGATAAAAATTTGACCACTCTAAAGTAATTTATGTAAACAACAAATCCTTTCAAATATTATTTTTTTAATTGTTTTTAATAACTTTAGTTGCAATTTTAATATTAATATTCAAAAGAGTTATTAAAGAACAAAGCAATTGAATTAGAAAAAAAATCTGTATAATAACACTTTTGTACGAAAGCGTACATCTGTCATCGCCTGCACTAAGTGCGCGCGAACTGCGCACGTTCGGAAACATTTTAGCGAAACTTTCGATAATAGTTTCAAGATATATCCGATTTGTTCACAAGTTATTAATAGCTGTCAAATTGTTAAAACGGCGCGAAGAGATCAGCCGTCGACAGTTTTATATTCCACCATTTTGGAGTCCATTTAGTAAAAGCAGATAAATATTTATCGCCGCCGATAACTCCGTGTTACGAGATGATGAACGTTTATTTTAGTAGCTGAGAGCTTTCTTAGAATCCCGCCGTCCGGTTGTAAAACATAAAAATTAATTATCTGTTGTAATTTAGTTTTTTTTTTAAATGAAAGGTTAAAGCGAATATGACTGCTACAAAATAAATTACTTTTTATTGATTTATAGAACTCATTCGTCTACGGGAAATAATAATGACCTATAGCGGCATCTCTTGGTGCATTTTAGTAACCTGTGAACGTAATTCTGTTATTAATTATGACCTATATTAATTAAATATTTTAACATTGATTAATGAGTTTATAGTCAAAAAGTTTTTTATAACGTTAACTGTACCTAAATATGTCACAATTCCTAATTTTACTCTCGAATAAATAATTCTATTTTTAGAATATTGATAAGGTGTGGATGAAGTTGTAAATTATAACCAATTAAGCCAATTCATGTAGGATTTGACAGTTACGATGATAATTTCATATAATATTAAATTGATGAAAGATCTCAAACTCATAGACGCACTAAAAGTTGCCTCAATGACGTACACACTAGTTCTGTTACAAAATTGGATTTTTAATCCTTCTTCATAATTTAATTCTAATTTTAGAACTAGCAGTGCCCTCTGCTATATAAAAGTTAAAACTCATTTAAAAGATTTTCATTTGGATTTGAAGACAACGCCCTCTATTGCAAAGTGTCTTAAGCAAATTAAGTTATGATAACGACAGATTATAATATTATTTTGCAAAACGATATATCATATTTTCAATTCTCCAAATGATTAAAAATTAAGTCAGTTTTAATTTTTACTGACCTAACAAAAAATATTTCTTTTAATTGAAACAATTTAAAAATTTTAGTTTTTGATTATAATAACGGAACGTAATCGGAAATCAGAAATAACTTGTCGCAAATCCACCATTTTCCCTTTGTAACTAACCGGTGTTCAAAACACGTGCGTACGATCAAGTTACATGTTAAGCCGACGCGTTCGTGATTAAAGTAATCATAGAAACATAACTAAAAGTGCGTCGCGTTTTTCTGTGCAGGTATTTCGTGTTAAAACATCAAAATGAACACCGAAAAACTGAAAAAACTGCAGTCCCAAGTTCGTATCGGCGGCAAGGGTACACCGAGGCGTAAGAAGAAGGTTGTACATGCTACTGCAGCCACAGATGACAAGAAACTGCAGTCATCATTAAAGAAACTATCAGTTAACACTATCCCCGGCATCGAAGAAGTAAATATGATTAAAGATGACGGCACAGTTATTCATTTTAACAATCCAAAAGCACAGGCCTCATTGGCGGCTAACACTTTCGCTATTACTGGCCATGGAGAAAATAAGCAAATCGCAGAGATGCTTCCGGGCATCCTTAGCCAACTGGGGCCGGAGGGTTTGAGTCAGTTGAAGAGGCTTGCGTCGAGTGTAACGGCGCCAAAGCCGCTGGACGAGGACGATGAAGTACCTAACCTCGTCGGCAACTTTGACGAAGCTTCCAAACAGGAGGCTAAAGAGGTTATAACCGAGGAGAAGGAGGAAGTAAAAGAACCGGAGAAAGAGAAGGCTCCAGAAAAAGCTCCCGAAACAGAAACCAAAGCGGCCGAGAAGAAATCCGATTAAATAGTCCCTTTCTTCAGAACAATATAGTTTTTAATTTTGCTCACCCATTGAAGTGACAAGGGTTTCCAAAGTTGAGCGTTTGTCAGCAAATAGTTTTTCTGAATTGAAATTGAGCATCTCATTTATATATAATGTGGTGTTGGAAAGTGTGCACCTTTTTTTGTTTGTCATTGTCATTCACTTTGGGAATCCCGTCCCCCCTGTGGGGTCACCGGTCACTCCCGCGCCTTCACTAACATAACTCTTGTGACACTTGCATGAGACCGAAGTTCTCATAATTTGGTATTTAGTTAAGTGTTTTATTGAATATATTGTTGACATAAAGGCAGTAAATAAGCATTTAAAAACATTACATGCATTATTTTTACAGTATATGAAGGAATATATTTATAGTAAATAGGTGTTATATACACCATGTAATATTTTTAATATTGGATTTTCTAAAGTTGTTGATTCATGAATTTGAAGATTTGCTTTCTCATAAAGTTTAATATTAGGTGGAAATAGTCACAAGCTCTGAAGAGTGAAACAATGTAGGAAACATTGTTTTGTTCTAAATATAATAATTAAAAATGTAAGATTGGAGTTTACTGTATATACATAAACTTTAGTCGATAATTTTGTGTTTTATTTAACTAACAACTATGTAATACAATTTTAACATTACTTCAAAAAGTATTTTATACATCTATGATGAACAAATTCAATGCCATTGGCTCATGACTCAATTTAAAAAAAAATGCCACAGTAAGTGTTAATTGAAATGAACAAGTCATACAGTTTTTTGATAAGGAATTATTAAAATGGCATGAGGTTTCACTTCAGGAAACATGTGGTTAGTCATTATCATTTCAAATTACAATTATAAAATATAAACATTGTTTTGTACAAAATCTTGCAACTCTATAACTTTAGAGTACCTAACATCTATTCCATGGGTTCCATACATGCAACTGTTGACAACAATGACTAAAGCTTATAGACAGTGCTTCATTAATTCGTGAAATGATTATATAAAACGGTAATAATTAGATAACTAGTCCGAGTAAAGTCACCTATCATATGAGTCATTAGGGAGGAGTGGATAGGGCAGCAGCCCCCTCTTACCATTGGAATAAAAATAAATTACCACCTGGCCCTAGCTAGCCGAGGCACTTTATACTTAAGGTTGCTAGATCTAGGGATCTAGCCACTTGTAATTTTATTTTATTGCTTTAATCCTATCCTGTCCACCCCCAAGAAGTAAGGTGCATAATGATATTAGGTTTACTCAAACCATTTCAAGTAACTGTATTGAATATTAAATAGGCCTTGTTGAGGAGGGGCTGATTCCGAATTAATCTGCGGGAGAAGAACAGGGAAGGGAATAGCTATCAATCCTGGTTAGGGAGAAAGAAATGTTCACTTTATAAACACAAAAGTAGCTATCAATCCAGGAGTGCGTTGTTTTAATATAGATTGATCGAAGGGTATTAAAATGGTTTGTGTTAATGTTTTTAATTTTAGCATATTAAAGCATTTTTCTCAAAATCACTAATTTTCTTGTAAATATGAAATAACGAAACGGGTACAAATTAATTTGGACAGCTACAAAATATGTCATATTTAACTTCTGTCAATGTCAGATCTCGTCATTTCATTTATTGTGTTGATATAATTCTCGTCAATAATATTTTACATTGATAACTACGATTAATTGAAGCACAATTTTATTTAATATCGAGAGTATTTTATGTGTAATACAAAATGATAGCCAGGCCTTGGACGGAAGATTTGCCGAAGTGTCAGAACACTTGCGTTGCGTCGTATTTCTCACAAATAAGTGCAAATGTAAATTCCACTGACGATTATCTTTGCTTCTACTGCCAAACTGAGGATGGATCGTAAGTATATAATATGTATTTTATACGATATGAAGCTACTAACTTACTGTGATGGTTCAGCGAACCAAAGCGAGTTAGCAGTCGCAGCTGACAATTAACTTCTGCCACAAGTTATAAGGCAGCAGATACTTTGTCTACCTTTAGCAGAGAAGTTGAAGCACAGTAAGATGATATTTTTTCTGCCTATCCATTACAAATCCGTTTTGCTAGGAAACTAATTTCTAATAACAATTATAATTTCCACGTTTTCAATGACTAAAACTTAAGTTTCATCTTTAAATAGTAAAATTGTAATTTTCAAATTATAGGTGTCTGTATGGAGTATTTGAACCACACAATGGCTTGGATGCTGCAAGGTTTATCATGCAGCGTATGGCTGTGGAAATGTTATTACCACCTCCATCTATCAGTAATTCAGATGAAGAGATAAGGGATAGGCTAAGGTATGTAATAAAATTTTGTAATATTTGTGTTGCATGTATTGTATGGTATATGATAGATGTATAAATGTTGAAACAGCGAGAGAGGTGTGTCAGGATCATGCCAAATGTAGATCTGTAGTCTCTATCTCATCTGCTCACTATCCATCCCCACCGAAAGGCTCAGAGCCTACCCTAAGTTAAGGGTGATTAGGCCATAGTCAACCACGCTGGCCCAGTGCAGGTTGGTTGACTTCACACATGTCTTTGAATTACTTCTCAGATATGTGCAGGTTGCATCACAATGTTTTCCTTCACTGTAAGAACGTCGGGTAAATGTACATATGTAAATCGAAAAACACATTGGTACATGGTGGGATTCGAACTCAGGACCTGCAGATCGCAATTCAAGACCTTGACCCCTGAGCCACCGACGCTCTTTTCTTTGCACCAATGGTCTCTATCTACCCTTCTGCATTTCGGGCTTGAGATATGTTGCATTTGTGTTTTAACTAAATGTAATATCAAATATTTGTAAGAACTTGTTCAAAATTATATATTTTCCAGGAATGCTTTTGTCTCAGTAGAGAAAGCTTACATAGAGAACTATGATGGTATGATAGCTGAACGAACCTGCTTGCAGTACAGACTACAAACATTAAACGAAACACAGGTACTATGACCAAATAATACTTTTATATCAAAATCCTAATGTGAGGCTTTTCTAAACTAGATGTAGCAAGAGACTAGAGTACTTTACATCAGTCCAAAATTGAAGTTAAGTACAAATGTACCTTCAATCTTCTCATTAGTTGCTTAAATATAATTAATTTTTACAGATATCACAAAACTGTGACAATATTCTGTCCCGTTTAAAAGAAATTGATCAACATCTGTCTGGTGGCGCCACTGTAGTTATAGCATTAGTACATAACAACAAGTTATTTGTGGCCAATGTTGGTGAGACGAGGGCGCTACTGTGTCGCACAGATGATAACTCCGTGCTAAGAGTTGTGCAATTAACTGTTGATCATAGTTTAAATAATGAAGATGAGTTGCTACGGCTCTCGCAGCTAGGATTGGATGTTAATAAGTTAAGGAATGGTGAGAATATGTTTATCAAGTAACTAGGTGACTTTAGGTGTGACTGTTCGTGCGGGATTTAAAAAAAACTTAATTAGTAGCCTGTGTTTTTGCAGACTATGTTCTACATCTATGCCAAATTTCAGTGAGATTCATGTAGCCACTCTGGAGATACCTGCTAACAAACATCCATCCATTCACTAAATTTATAAAATGTATATCAATGTTTTACTTAAGTCAATTCGTTTATCACGATTTTTTTTTATTTTCAACTTATTTATATATTTGACATCCACAGCGCAATATTTAGGCAATCAGTCAGGTACTCGTTGTCTGGGAAACTATCTAGTAAAAGGCCTGTACAAAGCCTTTCCCAACATAGGCATAGCGGCAGCCGAGCCAGTGGTGGCCACTCCGGAGATTCATGGGCCTATAGCACTGGATGAATCTTGCAGGTAATACAAAATTTTGCTGTCATCAAGCTATAAAAAAAAAATTAAGTATAAAAAATAAAACAGTAAACACTTTGGTTACATTGAGAATGTGTCTAAGAATCGGTAAATATATTTATTTATTTACAAGCTATTGTCAGTGACTCCGTCCGCTAGGAATGAAAAAAACACCTCACCTCGTTGTTCCCGCCGCTCGTTTGCCCCCTTCTCTTATAAAAAAAAAAAAACTTAATAAGTAGGCTATGTCTGCTTTTAGACTATGTTCTATATGTATGTCAAATTTCTGAAAGATCGGTTAAGCCATTCCAGTGATACCTTAAACAAACTTAATATTAGTAACATTACAATGAATAAAATTGTTTTTATTTAAGTTAAAGTGAATTGTTACAGATTCTTAGTTCTAGTCAGCGCTGGAGTTTACAAACGTATACAAGAAGTTCGCGGTTGCAGTGAACAAACGAACAAACAGCTCGCACAAATCATAGTAGAGAATTTCAGAAAACAAACGGATTTTACTAAAGTCAGTCATACTGTACTTGGAGAAATCGAAGACGAATTTCTTACTTATTGCAACAAAAATAATCTAACACCAAAAGCAAACACTCATGTCACATTATTAATAAGAAATTTCAACTTTCTTCCACCTGTGCCTCAGAACGACACCATAAACTTGAGAAACCCCGTCCATAAACAAAACGAACGATCATCTGTTCGATTTAATCCGATTGTACAATCGAAATCGAATACACTTATAAATGAAATCGATTCGGAAATCGATACATCGGGTACTATTGATATGGGTACGAATGATAGTAATATCGATACTAATCAATCGAATGATTCTGATATATCGAGTTGTAGGCCATATGACAAAGATAGAAAGATAAAAGGTTATGTTGACTTTACTTGTTACTACGAAAATGTTGCTAAAGCTAGAAAAAATGGTACTTTGCCTGGTTTTATAAAATGATTTCTTATTTTTTATGTCAAGATATTGTCGTTTATCTTTAGGCATTAATCGTATATGATTAAAAAAAAGAGTATTGTAAATGCTTCACTTTTATCAATGTGGTTTATTCGTCCTGAGATTATTATATTTATAAAATGTTTTAATAAAATATAAAAAATATGTTGTTTCATTATTACAAAAGAGCGTTGGTGGTTCAGGGGTCAAGCACTTGATTTGCAATCTGCAGGTCCTAAGTTCGACTCCCGCCATGTACCAATGTGTTTTTCAATTTCCGATTTACATGTATGTGTCCATTTATCAGACGTTCTTACGGTGAAGGAAAACATCGTGATGCTGCACATATCTGAGAAGAAATTCAAAGATATGTGTGAAGTCAACCCGCACTTGGTCAGCGTGGTTGACTATGGCCTAATCACCCTAAACTTAGGGTAGGCTCTGAGCCCCTCAGTGGGGACCTATAGTGAGCTGATGTTGAACATTATTACAAATATCCTTTATTATACATAAGTATTGATTTTTTAATATGATAAAGAATGCTTAGTAAAAATATTGTAAACATCTAAATGAAATACCGAACTTTCACAGAATACATGATGTATGATGATGAATCATACAACCTTTTTATTTTTTATTCGATTATAATTCTCATCTCTTACTAATCATTCTTTAATAAGGAATATTAAATAATTTTTAATAACTGTTGCTTTATTCACTAGTGAACTTATGTGAATCTACTAGAACTTTGTTAAAGGGGGTTTAGGTTCAAGGGGCCTTGGGAGTGGACTATTGTTTTTAGGTAAATATGCAAAATATTGCATATTTAAAAGCTTTTATTTTTTTCTCTAAATAATTCTGTTAAATTAAAATAAAAGTTGCTTACAAAGCATTGCATAGTGGCTTTAAGGTTCATAGTACTTTGACTTATAAAAGAAAAAAAAAACGGAAATTGACATTTCATTTCAGAAACGTCAAACAATTGTTGAAAATCATTTTCGTTTGCAGGTATTTTCTTATAAAATTACAAAATGCCTGCTGGTACATCAGCTATGGATCCTTTGAGAGAAAAGGCTTTTCAAGATTATAGAAAGAAGTTAATGGAACACAAGGAAATCGAATCTAGACTTAAAGATAGTACGTACCCCAATATCATTTGTGCCGAATCATTGCGTTATTGTTTCGTATTTTGTATGAATATAATTGATTATTTGGAAATATTCTGTATTGAAAAGTTCATTTTAAAAATATGTTATAGGTAAAATCGATTTTAACTTTTCAATTATTGAGGAAGACTTATCGCATGTTTTTATTTGCAGTGAGAGAACAATTGAAAGACCTAACTAAACAGTATGATAAGAGTGAAAATGATTTGAAAGCTCTTCAGAGTGTGGGGCAAATTGTTGGCGAAGTTCTGAAGCAACTGACTGAAGAGAAATGTAAGTAACATATTAATTTACAACACATTTAAACCAATATGTAATAACACACTTAGAAAGAAAGTACCATTGTGTAAATTTAATTTATAAAATTTTCTCTTAACACTAAGTCAATTCAGTAGGCACGGTTAATTGGATTAATGCAATCTTTGCTTATACTTTGCTATAGGAAAATAAGCAAATTTTTCATAAAATTATTACCTAAAATTATATCTACTCAAATGGAATCTGAGGTAAAGTTATTGTGAATCATTTCCCCCATGGTTATTTTAACTAAAGAAGTAAATCTAAAGTTGTATAATTATTTTCTTTCCAGTTATTGTGAAAGCAACAAATGGCCCACGCTATGTGGTTGGCTGTCGCAGACAACTGGACAAGAACAAGCTGAAGGGTGGCACCAGGGTTGCTTTAGATATGACAACCCTTACTATCATGCGTCACCTGCCTAGAGAGGTATTTACGTTACGTTTTTTAATTAACTTAATTGCAACATCCCCTTTCTGTCATTGTACATACACACATGCTGTAGGTCTTTTTATAGTCTATTTTCCATTCAAATGAAAGAAGTATTCATTAATTGGGCAAAGAAGTAGAATAGTGCCAGATTCACAGAGTATCTTAGAGTTACTTTGGTGGCATTCATTTCTATGGCCAAGTGATTTGATGTTTGTACTGTTAACCAATAGGTTACTTGTTGGGAAAAACTAAGGGGTCTCCTAATCAAAACTTTTTAGCTGCCTTTAAAATGAAAAACAAAAAACATTCAAAACTAGTAGTGCTTTAATATTAAAAATTTATTTTTAAATTAGAATAGGGCTTGCTAATTTTGGTCCTCTTTAATTTCCCACGCACTTGCAAGGAAAGGATGGGAAAGGGAATTGCATATTAAAGCAAAGGAGATGCATAGGAAGGGTAAATGTTCTCGTGCTGTTTTTCTCGTCCTCTATTAGAGATAGGCAAAGCATCTGCAATTGCCAATGTCTAAAGGCAGCAGTTGCTTCTCTATTTCAGCAAAATCAGGTCACTCGCTTGTTTTCCTTCTTATGATAAAAAAAGTAATTTGATTCCTATTGTTTGTCTTCAGGTGGATCCCCTGGTGTACAACATGAGTCATGAGGACCCTGGTGATGTGACTTACTCCGCAATTGGTGGTCTTCAAGAACAGATCCGACAGTTGAGAGAAGTAAGTTACTCAAGTGAAATAAACTTAAAAATTGTGAGATTAAGTTAATGTTTTAAAATATATCATTTTCGGACAAACTCAATGAAAAGTGTGAAATGTTAGATTTTTTAATAGTGAGTCTAGCACGAATATTTCTAACATAATTTGCACTAAGCAATAAGTATATATGCATAATAATTTTGACATAATTTACGAAGATAAAACAAAGGCGATTGTCAGAAATATTCGTGCCGAGACAACAGATGTCTTTATGTCTATCTTAATATAAACAAATAATATTTAAAATACGAAAGTTTTGATACCTTGATATTTGTTTAACTACAGAACATCTAAACAGATCTTGATGAAATAAAGATCTAGATTTCATCCTGGATTAGCGCATAGATATATATTTTCTTTTTTGAAATTTACAATTTCATGTTTTCAGGTAATTGAGTTGCCTCTGATGAATCCAGAGTTATTCCTTCGTGTTGGTATTACTCCGCCCAAGGGATGTCTGTTGTATGGTCCTCCGGGGACGGGGAAGACATTGTTGGCAAGAGCGGTTGCTTCACAACTTGATGCTAACTTCTTGAAGGTATGTAGTTGAGGAGTTGGGGAGTTAGTATTTTTCCGCGCGGACGGGGTCGCGGTCATGCCAATGTTTTGGATGGATGGATGGATGTTTGAATGTATCTCCGGAACATCTCAACAGATCTCGATGAAATTTGGCATACATATAGAGCATAATCTTGAAGAATACATAGGCTAATAATTAAGTTTTTTTTTTAAAATTCTGTGCATATAGAAACATGGGAGTTAGTTTGATATACATATTTTTTCCTAGGTCGTATCATCAGCTATTGTAGACAAGTACATTGGTGAATCTGCTCGTCTTATTCGTGAGATGTTCAATTACGCGAGAGATCATCAACCTTGCATTATATTTATGGACGAAATAGACGCCATTGGTAAGTACTATATTCCTTATATCTTTTTTAGGGTTCCGTACCTCTATTCAGTTCAGAACGTTGGTGGTTCAGGGGTCAAGCACTTGACTTGTCTGCAGGTCTTTAGTTCGAATCCCGCCATGTACTCATGTGTTTTTTCATTTCGATTTACATATGTACATTTATCCGATGTTCTTATGATGAAGGAAAGCATCATGATGCAACCTGCACATATCTGAGAAGTAATTCAATGATATGTGTGAAGGTTTTTTTTTATTTCAAAAATTAGGCCTCCACGACCAAAGACCAACAACTAAATTGGGGTGGGCTCCGAGCCCCTCAGTGTGTACTTATAGTGAGCTGATGATGGTAAATTATAAATTCCAGGTGGCAGACGTTTCTCTGAAGGTACAAGTGCTGATCGTGAGATCCAGCGTACACTGATGGAACTGCTTAACCAAATGGACGGCTTCGACTCTCTAGGTCAGGTCAAAATCATCATGGCTACTAACAGACCTGATACCCTGGACCCTGCGCTGCTGCGTCCTGGTAGATTGGATAGGAAGATTGAAATACCACTCCCAAATGAACAAGCCAGGTGAGTTACTGAGACAAAAAAATGTTGTATATGTGTTTTTCAAGACTATCTTTTGTATGTATGACAAATTTCATCAAGATTTGCTGAGTCATTCTGGAGATATCTTCTAATAAACATCCATCCATCCAAACATTCGCATTTATAATATTAGTAAGATTTGAAGACTAAATTATATGTTAAATTCATTGAATTTAGCAGTTTTGGAGTTATATAGTAACAAACAGTAATACATCCAAACGCAGGTTTAGTATTAGTAATAAGTAAAATGGTTAAATAAGAAAGTACTTCACTAACCTTTGTTGGTATTAATGTATGTATCACTTACCTTTGGTTTCTGAGACCAAATTCTCTAAAACATATCGTCATCCCTGTTATTTTTATAAAACAGTATATTTTAACTGTGAATTTTCGTCTCAGAAACCCACAGTTACACCATTATGATATCCTTGGACACAATCATTACATGATTTAAACCAATTGTGCTTTTAAAAACGTATTTTCACATCCTGCAATTTAATTATAAACCAAATATATACTATTTACACAATTAAGGTAGGTTTCTGAGCTCAAAATCTTACAAAACCCTGTTAAGATGTTTTAAACATAGAATCAAGTCTTAGTAAACCATTTTACGTAGACTGGAGATCCTGAAGATCCACGCGGCCCCTATCGCGAAGCATGGCGAGATGGATTACGAAGCTGTAGTGAAACTGTCCGACACATTCAACGGAGCTGATCTCCGCAATGTTTGTACTGAAGCTGGATTGTTCGCTATCAGAGCTGAGAGGGAATACATCATACAGGTAATCTTATACTGAAGGGAAACATCGTTTTTTTTATTTTAGATAGGAAAATAACCGAGCGGACTGGATTCGCCGAAAAGGCGAAACGACTAATTTTGATATTTTCAAAATTATTTTTGTCAAATAATATTAATAATATTTATTTTATGTGTTTTTTATTAAAATAAAACGAAATTTAGTTATATTTTGAAGTATGTTATACTACGGGAATATTATAGACTAGCTGTCGCCCGCGGCTACGTCCGCGTAACCTATGATTTCTTATATTAACGGAGAATTGTAAAGGAAACTTTTACTATAACCCGCAACTTGAGACATGCAGCGCACACAAGGGGGCGTTATCGCACACTTTGGGAAACACTGGTTTAGAGTTACCTTCAAACAAACATCCATCTAAACATTCGCATTTATAATATCAGTACGATATTGTTCTTTCTTTTCTGTACAATTATTACTATACTAGATATCGACCGCGGCTCTGTTGGCGCAGAATAAAAAAAAACTTAATTATTAGCCTATGTGTTCTAGACTAAGTTCTACATCTGTGCCAAATTTCATCAAGATCCGTTGAGCTGTTCCGGTGATACCTTCAAACAAACATCCATTTAAACATTCGCATTTATAATATTAGTAAGATATAATATTGTATATTTGTAGGAGGATCTCATGAAGGCAGTGAGAAAAGTCGCCGATAACAAGAAACTGGAAAGCAAACTGGATTACAAGCCAGTTTAAATTCGGCATTTATATTAAATAATATATAAATATATAATTGTGTAATTGTATCATTTTTTTCCTTTTCAATAATAAAAATTAGTGTTTAATAAAAGTGTTTTATTAACGTACTAGTTGTAGCCCGCGACTCTGTCCGCGTAGAGTAAAAGAAACATAATAGTCTATGTGTTCTTCCACACTATGTTCCGCGAACGTTTCCGGAGACACCCTTAAACAAATATACATCCATCCAAACATTCACATTTGTATTAGTAAGATTGAAAAATATCAATTGATTGCAAACGAGCGAGCGGCCGTCTGAATTCGCCGGAATAGCGAAATGACCGTTGCCGATAGATATACGCAATTGCGTAGTCTGCAATTGCAGATGTGTTTCCTATCTTTAATCGACAGAGGAGAGGATACACAGAAAGAAATTATTTCCCTCATCCTCTCATCCGGAAAGTCCACTTCCACTTCCCATCATTTATAAGAAAAAGGGTGGGAAAGGAAAGAGGACTAAATTAGGCCTCCGGGACACACCCTCATCAGACGAAACGCGGAATTGCTTCCACTTGACGCGTGTCTTCTGTGTGGTCGTGGTATTTCACCGGGCGAGCCGGGCCGATTCGTGCGAAGATGTTAAAGTGGGCTCTACCACTGTTAAAGTTATATATCTTTTATGATAAACTTAAAACACTTTATAACCTATAAAATTTTATTATCATCAAGTCATATGGCGCAGTTTGAATACCTACATAAAAACTTCCACAATAAACACTTTGTAGAATAAACTATATAACCGAACTTGAGTTTATTATTCACTACCAAGCTATAAAAGTATACCTTTATTTCTATTTTAATAGTGTTTAAAATTAATTTTGAAGCGTCTGTGGCTCAGTGGTTAAAGCACTTGACTAGCGGTCCAGGGTTCGAATCCCGTCATGTACCAATATGTTTACCAATTTCCGATTTACATATGTATATTTATCTGACGTTCTTACGGTGAAGGAAAACATCGTGATGCTGCACATATCTAAGAAATTCAAAGGTATGTGAACAGGTGTGTGTCAACCCGCACTGGGCCAGCGTTGACTATGGCCTAGTCACACTTAATTAAGAGTTAGCACTGAGCTCCTCAGTGTGGAATATAGTGAGCTGATGATTAAATGGAATTAAAAATCTTACATATCAATGAAATAATAAAAAAAAACTCTTCTTAAATGTATATTTTAATTTTAAGCAATGAAAGCGTAAACTTTATGAACAAGTCGCTTTGCAATACTATTTTATACGTAGGAATCGTAGTTACTGTCTACCTTAGATTGTTGAAGATTGCCAACAAAGTCTTATTTAAGTTATTCATAAGTTGGACAACCGAATCTTGATAAGTCGGTACTGAATCAAGTTAACACTAAAGTTAACCGTAACTAGATCAGGACTTGGCGTAACTGAATTCAAGATTCATTCAACTCGAGCGAGCAGGCGGTTCGTTAACAGAACTAATTAATAGTTTAACTGCAACATTGCAGTGCTAGAACTGAGTTTGTATAGAGGGGGGACGTTAATTTCCTAACCATCACACCTTTGATATTTCGCTTTACCAAGTCGTTATCGATAAAATCATTTTTGTGAACAACACTATTCTTTATGACTTAAGTTTATACATTACGGCGTTAAAGTACAAAGTCTATTGAAATTTTAATAGAAAATCGTCAATGGATGTGATATTAAACTTTTGATCGAATTATTTATCGTATATTAAAGTTGGGAGTAAATGATAATAACGTTTAGAGATGTTCATAGTAACAAAGATATTAATAGTTTCATCAAAATTTAAAGACATTATAAATAAAGAATAGGTCAGCGTCATCTTGATTCAATTCTTTTTTATAACAGAAGGGGGCAAACGAGCGGCGGGAACACCGAGGTGTTCAACGACGTCCATGGACATCAGCAATACCAAAGCAACCGTCGTGTACCAATGTGTTTGACGTGATGCAACCTGCATATCTCCAAAAAAAGCAAATATATGTGTGAAGTCAAACCGCACTGGACCAGTGTTTGACTAAAGCCACTAGGCTAGACTGACTACAGTCAGACGACTAAATGTAGAATGTAGTTTGTTATCTTAAATCTAATAAGCTATCGAAAAGAATCCTTGAACTGTAATCCGTAAATAACCACAGATTATATGATAAAACTTTTAACAAAGAATCGCAGAAATAGAGAGACAAAAGAAAAGTTCGCTAAACCTAGGGATATGTTATCCGATGAGAACGATGACAAATATCTGGCTTCTGTACGCTCAAGGACAACGGTGATAATGATAATTTATATTCGAAACAAGGACTAAAAGTGGGTCGTTCTAATATGTCACATCCAACAACGTAACCTTGTAAAGCCGTTCATAATTTTTTTTATTTATTTTTTGAAGTTACAACTGAACTGTTTACCTTTTTTTTCTTTCGATAACATATTTATTATGTCAATCGAACGCCGTTACAATGTTGCGTCAGTCAATTCTTTTTCTTAAACACTAAAGATGTTACAAAAATGGAACCAAAATATCGATATTTCATAACTATTGAATTCAATTTACATGTTTAAAGTCAGAATCGATTCGTTTCCATTAATTATTGTATTCTCACAATGAAAAATAGTATTTAAGTGGTAGAGCCCGCTTTAACATCTTCGCACGAATTGTCCTGGCTCGCCCGGTGAAATACCACGACCACACAGAAGCCAGTCGTGAAGTGGAAGCAATTCCGCGTTTCGTCTGATGAGTGTGTGTCCCGGAGGCCTAATTTAGTCCTCTTTCCCTTCCCCTTTTTCTTATAAGGAAAGTATGGGAAGTGAAAGTGGACTTTCCGGATGACAGGATGCATGGAAAGGGAAAATATTTTTTATATCTGTGCATCCTCTCCTCCGTCGATTAAAGGTAGGCAAGGCATATGCCATTGCGTATGTCTATGAGCAACAGTCACTTCGCTATTTCAGCGACATCAGGTGGCCGCTCGCTCATTTTCCACCTTATGATATATAAAAAAAATAATTTACGAAAATAAATAATTTTCAACCAATGTTTATACTAGCAAGTAGGCCCACGTTTTGTACCGAAGTCGCACGTGACACCTAATATTTTGGTCGGACGTGTCTCATTATTTTAAACGTGAGCTTTTAAAACCTCGCCTTTACCTTGAGAAGAAGAAAAATATACGCTGTATTTATTTAGTATAGTGCTTTATATTTATATAAAATTGAGTAATATAAGTCAAGTCGTTAAATAAAAAAATATTGTTAGGTAGAAAATCCGAAAATAAGCCTGTGTATTGACTCAACACTAGCCTTACTGTCTGTCGACGTTTATGTCCCCTCACTAATCATTCTGACACTGGACTTTGTAAGGAAAGCACGTCATTCGCGCTAAAGGATTGTAATTAATAATGTCTAAAAGTATTAAATGTCGGGGGAAAGGTTTCAAGTTTCAGTTCAACGTAAACTTTATTGGATTTAATCTCACTTACATACTCAATAATTAATTGGTTCTTAATCAGTACTTTAGTAAAGATTAACCATTAAATCTACCCTAAGAGTTCTCTTTAGTTATTATTAAAGTAATCTGAATACGGGATTTAAACGCCAAATTACATTTGTACTAGCTGTCGCACGCGACCGTCCACGCGGTATTAAAAACTTAATTAGTAGCCTATGCATTTTTCCAGATTATGTTCTACATCTATGTCATATTTCAGCGAGATCTGTTGAGCCGTTCGGGAGATACCTTCAAGCAAATATTCATGTAAACATTCGCATTTATAATATTAGTAAGATTCGTCTATTACTGCTCACCCTCTAACAGTATATGCGTGATATATATAGAGTAATACATAGGGCGAAGGCTCACGTAGTCCGCATTAGGTGAGCTCGTTGTTTCCGCGCGATATTATATTTTCACGGACGTGTCTTATTTCTTCCGCACGTGATGCTTTGAAGAGATTCCTTTTGCCTACACTTTTGTGGTATACCAAATAGATAAAGATACATGTATAA